TTATCAAAGGAAGATGGGAACCTGAAGTCCTTGCACACCATCTGTCACCAACAGAGTTATCATACCGTAATCTGAGTGAGCTGAGGCACCACATATCTCTTCATCGGGCACCACCTCACCTAACAGAGTTGGCAGGCAAATCATCAACAGGAAAAAGGTTTTGTTCTTGGATGGTCACATTAAGAAAACACTTGGCCCTTGGCCCTCCAACAGATAATTGATGAAACAGACAGAATTTGTTAATAGCATATCAAACACTAGGCTATTAAACACTAACTCCGTCTTTTGGTAGGTATTTTAAACATCAAGTTTGATCCTGACAGGTACCTAAGTAGGATGAAGACCCCTACCCTAAAAGCTAGCTGTTGAAATGGAAGAACCAATCCACTTAAATTTTCATCGAACATCCCATCCTCCTTAATATGGGACTTAGTATCCTATATGATACATGGGAATTAGGGATAAAAGGGGTAGTTTGGGTAATTTGGGGTCATATTAAGTCTATAAATAGGAGTCTAGGTTTGTAATGGGTGTCTAGTGAATACATTTTTACTGTTTACTCTATTTTCCCTCTTCTCTCTCCGTCTACCTCTAACACTATATTACCAAGTTATCATCACATTCCTACAAAAGTTGCAGTTTTTATACCCACTCACGTAGCTAGTTTGCAAAGTGTCCGTATGAATAAAATAATCCAACACGATACAAATATACCAGAACTTAATCCACTATGCACAAGAAGTTTCAAATAGGCATTTAAGCTACAGAGCACACTCATTTGCTGTATAGTTCATACTTCACAGCATTCAAATCAACTACTGTAACCAAAGAAGATAAGTTGACTGTCATATTACAGGGGTTCTCCAGAAAGGAATAAATAAAACAGAATGACATATAATATTTGAAGCACATACAAAAATGGGGGCTGCAATATGCTAATTAAGAAGATTGAAAGGAGTCAATTAGTGCTACTAAACCTGGATAATGCAAAAGGCGAAGAAAAGCTGCTGGTTTGCTTAGGGCCCCAATTTTCTCGAAGAAATCTTCATCCAGATTCAAGGACTGGGCCATTAAAGATAACAACTCTCTTCCAGCCACACTTTGAAAGAAAACAAGCATATTTAAATTTTGAACTTCACATTAGAAAGAGAAAGAATAAAAGAATCATGTATCCGAATGCTCAGCCACCCTCTCCCCAAGGATATATAATTATCACACGCATAAAACAAAATATCAAAGTGTAAGTTCCCAATAAATACCCAGCCAAACCGTACTGTATAAGAAAGAGTGAGATTTAAAGAGAAATTGAATTTCCTGGTCACAGAGCGAAGAACAGAAGTACATATTCAAAGAAAAAGAACAATGTTGGCCTTTTTATTACTGCTGGGTGAAGTTTTGTAGTAAGCAATCATCCTACATAATTGATAGCACAGAAAGATATACTAAGGAACTTACAGAAGTTTCCAGTATAGGGATTCCATTGTAGGTCTCCAATTTTCAAGTACTTCTGGAGGTTCCTTGCCAGATACATACGTCAAATAAAGTTCATGCACGAATCAAAATGTCTGACCATTATTGAGTAAACACTAACAGATTTTAAATACTTTACAAAACAAATACTACCTCTAGTCCTTAGTATAAGAGCTAGTTGACTAATATAAATAGATTAAGGAAATTAGTTAAATTATTTATTTGTAAAAAATGAAACATTTAACATGTGTAACTACTACAAGGACTATCTTGGAAAAAATGGATAAATATAAGAGATAAAATAGATTAGGGTCTTATATTTAGGACCAGATTTAATGTCAACTAGCTTTTATATTAAGGATCGGGAATAGTATGAAATAGTATAGGCATACCTTCTGAAGGCCATTGATTCAGGTTAATACTTGCATGATCTGCTAAAGGACCAATGTAGAAGCTCTCTTTTGAATCACCTGATCATCGCATAGTTGATAATGATCAACATTATGCATCTTTTCCCATGAAAAGAAGAATTTGAAAAGACTTAGACAGCTTTCAACACTGACCCTATATCAGTCGCCTCAACCAATTTACATATCTATGTATAATGTAAAACTAACAAGCCATACTATTCACGAGTCATGAACAATATAACTCATTTCTCCAACTCCATGCAACACACGAGACTTGCACTGGCGTTTTACATTAAGAGCTAAAAAAAAAAAAAAGAAGTTGAGGCCAACCAGAGGCTCATATTTAAGTCTAATAAAAAAGGTCCGCCTGGGAAAAATGATTCCACCTATAGTCATATACTAAAACCTTAGTTCCCTAAATGGACTTGTAGGACTATCCCCACAGTGGCTTAAGATTAAACCATAAACCTAAAAAACTGCTTGAGACTAATCAAAATCAGAAGTTACCTTTGGAGCCTGAAGTTGCATCCAGTTTCTCAGCATATAGAGGTGTATAACCTCTGTGTTCCTTGCGGGGATATTTCATTTTCTCTTCCACTGGAAGTAAGAAGAACTTTCTACTCTGCTCAAACACTTTCTGAAGCAACTCTTTCTCCACCCCGTGGTTCACTAGGTAGAAAAACCCGTACTCAGTGCATGCCTGTAACACAGTTCCAACAACTACTATGAGTATGCTTCCGTTGGTGTAAATTTTAAAAATAGTCTAATGACCATGTGCAGCTGAATTCATTTAGTCCACAAACATGTAGCGAAGTATAGAACATTTATTGTTTTCGTAAGGTTCTTGGTTTTTAAAATTAGAGAACTAGAGAGCTCTAAAAAAAGAAAATGCCGGGATTTTAGTGCATCGCAACTTAGCATAGTAACCAAAGATTATTCTACTGACCATGCCATTGAAACATGAAAAATCTGTCAAAGAAAGATTAAGTCATCGAAGTTTGATGGCCAAGTAATGATGCCATTTTAAATTGAAAATAGGCATAAGGCAATCGTAAGAAGAACTTAACAGTTATCGACTTTACTAATTCTCTACAATAGAACCACACAATAGCTTAGATTTAATTCAGAGTTAATGCTAAACAACGTTAAGTCCACTGCGGTAGTAAGTTGACAAGCTTTAAAGTCGATTTCTTTTGCGACATTTAATTGGACACAATATAAACTTAGAAAGAGGAAATGTAATTTTTCGTCCTACAAGCCTACACATCGCAATTCTCAACAATTTGATTTCTAAATTCAAAACCTGCATGATTAATACTAAAATATTTTACCTCACTGCTTATCAAAATCCAAATAAGCCAAATGTACGAGCTTACTAACCAGTTGTACCTTAAAATAATGCAATCGAGTAATTTTAAAGTCGAGACCAAATAGTTAAATATACAATGTCAGAGACTAAATTGAATCTAGGCAGACTTTGGAGTAGCCAGTGGTCCTTAAAATCTCTTTGATGCACTAAAGGCACCATGACCGACAAACTCCAGCAACAAAACCACACATGTATCAACATATCAATATAAAAATTCATAGCAAGCCACACAATCTTTATGAACAATAAAGAGTGGACTCATTTTTCAGTACAACGCAAAGCAGACACAAGGTCTCGAAGGGGAAAAGCAGAGAAGCGGATGAATAAAAAAGAGAGCAAATAAAAGATAAGGACGAAGGACCTGGCGGATTAATTTGGCGGTGGAGAAACGATCAGGTGAGGAGAGATCTATAATAGGGAGCTTCAAGGTTGCCGGCGGCATCTTCTTCCCTCCGCTGCTTCTGCTTCCTCAGTCTGTTGAGTGTTGAGCTAGCCAATTCCAAAATCGTTCCAAGTCCAACCTACTTCACATGTGCTGCGAAATCGAGCAAATTGCAATCTGAAAAAGGCTAAAAAGACCACCCAAAAAAAAAAAAAAAAAAAACTAGTTCAGCGGTTCAACCTCACCTTCAAACACCTTACGTTTCAATTTGACGTGGTCTCATCTTATTTTGAATCCATTATTCTGGAATCAACAGGAAGTTAAACAAAATTCAAGATCTCAAACGATAATATAATGCAAGATATACAAATCAATATTTACTCATGAATCATGGAGGGAAAGTTTTTGTTGAAGGTTTTGCCCCAACAATTTTGTTGAAGTTCTTAATTCATATCTTGTCGTCATTTATGATTTTTGACAAACTGGTTTGAGTACGAGGTTGCTAAGTTTTAATTATCAATTTTTTATCCACCCGTCATTTCAAATTTTAAGCATTTTCTGGTCTAATTGCCATCACTTTTGTTTCTTTTTCTTTTTTCCTTAAGGGTTTTGGAGATACAACCGCGAACCACCCACGGTTTGAGCCCCATGGAAGGTTGGGCTAGGAATTAACGTCATAATGCTAAGATGAACCATGTTTGAAGAGGTGGGTCTAGTAAAAAAAACTGGGCTGAATTAAATTTTGAATCTCAATCTATACTTCAACAAAATTTACCTTTATATGCCGACAGGACTTAGGTATGGTAGAAGAAGCTAATTTCTCATAACATGATGAATTAAGGTTTGAATCTCTGTTAGGAGAGGTGCACACATCTAGTACCCGACAGTACCTCTAATAGGATTGCCTCCAATAGAAGGATACCTATATTTTAGCAAAAAAAAAAAATTAGCTTTATATGAAGAATAATAGATTTCAGGGGTGATTCTCATCTGAAACCATATCATACTTTCTGGGGGGTGTTTGGCATCCTATATAAATAATTTGAAAAAATATTTTTATGTAAATAGAGATAAAATTCTTTTCACATTTTTATATCAAATTTTGTAAAATCACTTAGCTAATACTACCCCCAATCCCTAATATAAGAAGTAGTCGACTAATTTGAGTAGATTAAGGAAACTAATTAAGTTAGTTATTTGTAATAAATTGGTGTTGTCTTTTCTAAAATATCCTTGTTGATCAAGTGTATTGACTACAACTATCATTATTAGAAGGACTATCTTGAAACAAATGGATAAATATGAGAAACAAAGTTGATTAAGATCTTGTATTTAAGAACTGGTGGTGGTACAAATTAGAAAAGACAACTTTCAAAACTATTAAAAGTTTTTTCTCATAGTGTTCTTTCCTTCTTAATTTTTCACCATCCAAACACAGGTCTTTAATCATTAATAATAAAAACCATTACACTTAGAATGGAAAGCATTAGAATGATCATCTTCTTGCGAAGCTGGTAGCGTTGGATCACAACATTTTATTTAAAGCATCATAATAAAAATATGAATGAAATGTTATTTCTAGGATGATCCATATGTAAGCTTGAAGCGCTCCTTAAAGTAGTCTGCACTGCGGATTGGTGGGAATCTGCATTACCCATAAATATTATATGAGCATATGTTGCGATAAAATTTATCAAAGAAAAAAAAATCAAAATTATTAGTCAATTGATCCTCATGAATTTATGCTGAAATATTGTCTAATTTACAACTAAAGAAATTTAAAAGAGGAAAAGAATTATGGTATAAATTTGTCCTGAAAATTTTTACTCAGAAGCGTTAGACATTTGAAATTTTTTTAGAACTAATTTGCCCCCCAAAATTTAAAATCGTAATAATAGTATTTCCTACTGTTAAAAATATTAATGATCAACATCACTATTTTAACAAGAAACTTGTTGATGGTAGCAATATGATTTTTGCAAATTTGCACCTAGATCCATAGGAAAATGGAATCTTTTTACATATCTATGAAGGATTACGTCTAGGTCTTAAGAAAATGAGTGTACTTTTGCAAATTCAAGAAATTTATTTGTAAATAAGCCCTTTTTTTTAAAACGAAACAAAAAAAAAACAAAACATAAATCATGAATCAGCTAATAAGCCCTCTTGAGTACTTGTTTAAGAGTTAGAAAGAAGAAGTCTTATATGTAACTTTTCATAATTATGAACCACTTACCCTTAAATTTTAATTGCATCCGCACCCTTCAAATTTTGAACCACTTACACCTAAATTTTAATAATTTGCATTCCTTAATATATACTACTTCTAATTTTTAATGTAACAGTTAAATTGAATTTAATTTCGTTTTAAATATAAGACTCCAATCTACTTTGTCTCTCATATTTATCTATTTTTTCAAAATAGTCCTTATAGTCGCTGCACATGTTAAAGATTCCACCAAATGGTAGTTTTAACTAATACACATGATTAGTAAGAGTATTTTAAGGAATTCAACTCATATTTATTATAAATAACTAACTTAATAAACTTTCTTGATCTACTCAAATTAATCAACTAACTTTTATATTAAGGATTGGATGTAGTGTGTGTGTGTGTGTATAGGGCCTTAGATCCTCCACTTGTCCAAATTTAACGGGTTCACTAATGAATTAAAGATGTTAATTGCGAGCCAAGGGCTACTAAGTAAAACTTTTAAATATAAGGGTATACTTAATTTTTTTTTTCTCGCCAACATAAGTCATGAGGGAATACTTAATTAATTGCGCATGCACATGGCCTTAAGTGGAAGGAGATATGTATAACTGAGCTTAATTAGTGAAAATAACACAAGCTTACAAATTATTTCTCGAAGAACAAGCAATTAGTCCGAAAAATGTTTTCTAACATTTGAATTTGAGTAGTATTACATAAAACAAATAAATTTAGTATACCTGGGCGGAGATGATTCACTGCAGCAACTTTCAAGGCATTCCACAACAGTGTCTGGTTTTGGGTCCAAAAAGAAAACCACCTGTATAATAATTGCAATATATATAAAATGATTGGGGGAACAAATCCGCGACTTTCCCCTTCTAGGAGAACTACCATATCACTAAGCGTATGCTTGTCAGACAAGAAAGTTACAGAGAGACTTGGTCCTAATAGACTACTATATCTCCAATCATTAATATAAGAGCTAGTTTGCTATTATGTTCAATTTGACCTTAATATAAGATCCAATCTACCTTATCTCTTATATATATATATTTTTTAGTAGATACACATATTAAAGGTTTTATTAAATGGTAGTTTTAGTTCATACATATGATTAGCAAAGGTATTCTAGAGAAAATAACACTTATTTATTATAAATAACTAACTTAACAAGTATTCTTAGGGTGTGTTTGGATGAAATCAAACCGTGGTTTGGAAAAGTGATTTTGGAGAATAGATTCTGTGAAGAATAGATTCTGGAGTGATTTTGAGAAGTGAGAGTGTTTGGATAGTTGTTATCAGAAACACTTTTTATATACACAAATTACTAAAAAAAAAGACATAAGTTAATATGATAATTACAGAAAAATAGATTTTATGATATATTTTAATTTGAAGGAATAAAATTGTTAATAATATATTTTTTACCAACATAATTAATAATACATAAGATAATATAATTAATAAATAATTAATATGTATATATATTTATAAAATATAAGATTAAATATGTTTATAAAAAAATATGTTTATAAAAAAAATAACAAGATACATATCCTATAGACTCTCACACTCTCCTTTTTTTTTCCAAAAGCAAAAAATTTTTGCTTTTTCCAAAACCATGGTTTTGGAGTCAAAACCATGGTTTGGTTTTTGGGATGACTGTTTGGGCAGTTTTTTACCCAAACCATGGTTTGGGCCCCCAAACCATGGTTTGAGCAAACATCCAAACGATACCTTAATATATTCAAATTATTCTACTAGTATCGCAGGTGGTGTATATATATAAATTGGGCTACTCTTAAACTAAAGTCTTTCATAACCCATCATTTACTAGCAGAGTTTTTTGTTATTTTTATACAAATTTACCAGCAGAGTTGGTACCATGAAATGCCAACCATATTATGATAAGAAAATAAAGCAAGTGAGGAAGAAGTAAGTTGGAAGGGAATTACAGAATAGCGTTCTTTTCCTGTAGGCATAACCCTGTGCAGTGTTGACCTGCAACAACAATAATCATGAAAGCCCCTTCCTCAGAATGGCTTCTATATTTCTACTATGCAAATTAAACACTTTTAATTTGTTGCTAAATGAATTAAGTACCTGTACACACAGTTAGTCCACCTCTCTGTCATATCTCCAATGTTCACAATAATGGCCCTGCAAATCACAAGTTTAATATGTATAATCAAAATTTAAGACTTAAACTGCATGAGTTCTTGCTTATGATCACAGAACCCAAATCCTATTAATTTCCTACTTGAGATACTCACCCCTCTATGTGAGGCACATCCTCCCACACCTGAGGTTGCTGCGACCTCTCTTTGCAAATCTGCAGTAAGCTTTTGAAATTTTGTTATTTTGATTAATTAAACCTTAGAATAAGGATCATTATTAACCCATTAATGTGAAAATAACTTTAGATTAATATTATATAATTGAGGAAGAAGGGACCTGAAGCCCTGGGACTCCATCAGTCATGAGGAGAGCTATCATGCCATAATCTGAATGGGCATAGGCTCCATATGTCTCTTCATCAGCTACCACTTCACCTGACAAACACACACAGTTCATAGCAGTGACACAAACAGAATTAGTCTCCAAGAAGAAAGGAATGAATAGAGGGACACTGAAATAAAAAGAAAAGAAACACAGAAGAAACCTGGATAGCGCAGAAGGCGAAGAAAAGCTTCTGGGCTGTTAGAGTTTAAAGCCCCAGTCTTCTCGAAGAAATCATCTTCCAGGTTCAAAGACATGGCCAGTAAAGACACTGTCTCTTTTGCAGCCGCACTATATATATATGGCATGCAGAAAACAAATCACTTGACTTATATATGAACGTTGTTGTGCTGAGGGGAATAAGAAAACTTACAAGACTTTCCAATAAAGTGATTCCATTGTGGGTCTCCACTTTGTAAGTAGCTCTGGAGGGAGGGTCAATGCGAAGAAACGCACATCAGATAAAGCTCATGGAAGATCAAAGACTGTGTTATTGTATGTGTATACATAAGCCTACCATTGGAAGGCCATTGATTCAGATTCTCAGTTGCATGATCTCCTAAAGGACCGATGTAGAAGCTCTCTTTTGAATCACCTGATCATCATGACACAGTTGTAAATAAACGGACGACAAGAAACCCACAAGTCGTTTGTGTTTGGTTTTCCATTTTGTGAAGGAGCACATTTTGCTAAAAGCAAATTGACTTTTTCAGTAACTTGCTTGCTCACGCCAAAATGAGAATGGGAAAAGCAAAATAGAAAATAAAAAAGTTACCTTTGTAGGGAGAAGTTGGATCAAGTTTCTCAGCATGGAGGGGATTGTAACCTCTATGTTCCTTGCGAGGGTATTTCATTTTCTCCTGCATTGGGAGTGAGAAGAAGTTCTTGCTCTCCTCAAACACACTCAGAAGCACCTCTTTCTCCACCCCATGGTTCACTATGTAGAAGAACCCGTGCTCACTGCATGCCTGCAAACGCACTTCCAACAGTTGAGTTTAACTCTGACCTTTTTCTTTTTTTGGCGATCTTTTTGACATTTAACTTGTTAGGTCTTCTTGACACAATAATTGGATTAATATCATTATTCGTGCTTACAGTTCGGCCCAATTTTAGTTATCGTCTCGGTATTTTCAAACCATTGCCCTTTGCTCCTATACTTTTTATAGGGATTTGCATTGGTTTGAGTTTAACGTATAGAGACCAAAACTAAAAGTTGTTAGGAGTATTGGGATCAGTGGTTAAACTTCGACCAAAAAGAAGTGTGAAATTATAGGGACTAAAACTAACAATTTTAAACTACAAAAATCAGACCCAGAATTCGATCAAACTACAAGGACTAATATTAGTATTATCCTCAAAATAAGTTTTCACATGCTGAACAAATAGCCGCAACAAATCTAGATATTTCATATTGCCTTTTATCCTTAATATAATAGCTAATTGATTAATTTGAATAGATTAAAAAAGTTTGTTAAATTAGTTATTTGTAATAAATAGATGTTATCTTTTCTAAATACCCTTACTAATTATGTGTATTAGCTATAATTACCAGTTGATAAAATCTTTAACATATACAACCATTACAAGGACTACTTTAAAAAAAAAAGATAAATATGAGATACAAAATATATTAAATTTTTATAATTAGAACTAAAGTGAATATGAAACTAGTTCTTATATTAAAATATAACAGGAGGTGATATCAAATTTGAATCATTCAGGGTTTTGTCATTTCTATTATTGCGTTTTACTTTATCATGAATGATTATTATTTAACATTTAAAAGATGGTCGGATGCAGGTAGACCAATGCCGAATGAGCTGCTTCGCTGCTCTTCCAACGGCAATATCACCCCTACCACGTGGCGCCTTGGTATTGGAGGGAAAAACCGGAAACATCCGTCATCGATTTCTTGTGAGTTGTGACTCACAAAACTGGGACAAAGGTCATTAGCAACGGCGACGTTTGGTTCGGCAAATTTAAAAGGATTAGTCTTTAGTTCAAGGGAGAATTATAATGAGATTTTTAAAAAATAATTATAAATTAAGTCTTAAAAGTTATTATTATCTACTCTAACATTTATTATTATAAGCTGCTTGAATTATTATTAGAATTTTTTAATATTATTATTTTTAAGGATTTCTTTATAATTCTCGCTTAATTCAAACTTCAAAACCCCTAAAGTACTTTTGACAAGCTGAAATAAAGAGAAATATAAAATAAAAGAGGGAAAAAAACACAGTGAAACTTTTCATATTTCGAAAAGCAAGAGTTATTCTTTAGAAAAATCACTGTAAGATTCCAAAAAAATTAAATAATATAAATATTAAAAAATTGTAATAAACTTTGAAACATAAATCTTCTTGTCATTTTCAATAGGGCAACTTTAATATGAGATTTTTTAATAATTATTTTTTTTTATTTTTTATAATTTATGTTTTGTTTGGATGAAAAATAAAGATGAGATAAAACTAAGAGGAGAAAGTACCTTCTCTCATTTTTTTTTCTCAATGATGTGGATCAAAGTAGCCATGTGCCTACTCAAATTCTAAATGTAAAGGTTAGTTAATCAATTTCTATATATTTATTTCAAATGCAAGACATTTTAATTAAAAAAATTAATTAAATTCAACTGAAATATCAAAATTTAAATCCAGGCCTACCGGTCTAACTAATTTCTAATCAGATTTAAAAGCTTAATTAGGAATGGCTTGCTGTTTTTACAAGACCAAAATGCCCCACAATGTAGTTTAAAAAATTGAGGGTAGAGGTATGCCTCATTTCGATTTTGATTATTTCATATTGCTTTAATTGAAATTTTCTCTTTATTTTTAGTTACCGAATGAGCGAACATAAGCCTTCTATTCTCGCTAGTCACGCATGCTTTTACTTTGCATATAAAAATACTCACAAGTATGATATATATATATATATATATATATATATAATATACAATATTACACTGTTAACTATATAAGATTATTACTTATTTGCGTTATATGCTTTGCATTTTTCTTAAAACATATACATAAGGGCTTACGTCAGAATTGTTCATATAAATTTAAGAATTCAATCAATTATCATTAAGTTTTTTAATAAAATTAAAGTGGGTAAAACAAATTAAGGGGGATCAAATTCAAAGTCACTATCATAGCAGTTTGACTTTGGCAGGAAACTCTCTCCCATAAATTAAAAAAAAAAAAATAGGCACCTGAAAATTATTAAAGGACAAATCAGTGTGTATGAATTTTTAAAATATCAATTTAGACCCCTTGTACCATTTTAAAATTTTTAAAGCTTATAAAATACATAAATGCCCTTTGCTTTTTTTAAAAAAAAAATATTGCAACCTCAGTACCCTTGGCCCATTTCCGGTTGTCAGAGCTCCAGTGAAGTGATTACTCTTTCTTATATATTGACTACTATTCTTTAGCTATTAACTACATTTGTTTTTAAAATTCTGATAGCTACTCTTGTTTAGCTACTGACTGCTCTAATATTACAATTAACTACTTTCATTTTTAAAATTTTGATAACTATTTTTGTTTAGCTATTGACTACTCTAATTTTATTATTAACTACTTTTATTTCAAAAATTCAAAAAATATATTAAGAGTTATTGGAGATCTAATAACTATTTTTTGTTTAGTTATTTACTCCTATTGTATAGCCAATAGCTATATAAAAGTAGTCACTGAAACTTTAAAAAAAAAAGTAATCAATAGTTAAACTAGAGTAGTTAATAACTATATGAAAGTAGTCACATAGAATACGGATAATGTTATTATTTCACCAGATTTTAAAACTTCAAAATAATATAAGGGGTCTCATTTGGGATTTTGAAATTTACTCACTCTAATTTGTCTTTTAGTATTTTTTAATGTACTCTTCCAATTCTAAATATAAGACCCTTTTTGTTGTGTAAAATACCTCGCTTTTTAGACTAATACTGTATGTAATGCTACCTCCAATTTTTAATACTCCTCCGGTTCTTAATATAAGATCTATTTAACTAATTTGATTATATTAAGAAAGTTATATAAGTTAGTTAATTATAAGAAATATAGTATGTTTTTCCTAAAACACCATAATCATCTTTTTTAATAACCTCTTTTCCTTTTCTACTTGATTATAGTTGAGAGAGTATTCATAGAGATAATTTAGAAAAAAACTGATAAATATGATAAATAGATTTTATATTTATGATCAAAATTAACTCAATAATTAGGTCCTATATTAAGGACTAGAGGAATATAAAAGTTTGTTTAACTTTTATTTTGGTCATAAATATAAAATCCCAATCCACTTTGTCTCTTATATTTATCTTTTTTTTAAGATAATCCTTGTAATAATTATATTTCCAGTCAATACATTTGATTAACAATGATTTTTTTAGGGAAAAAACATATATTCATTACAAATAACTAACTTAACTAATTTTTTTAATTTATTCAAATTAGTTAACTAACTCTTATATTAAGAACCGGAGATAATACCTCAACTATTTAAATTTTTTTCGTCTTTTTGATCATTAATTTCGACATATAATAATAGACGTTTTGTTGTGCTATCTCTAATCCTTAAGGTAATCTTACGTCAGAGACCGGAGACGATACTGTGCAGTTTTATATTTCTTACAATTTTAAAAAATAAATTAAAACCTCAAGGTCAGATATCAAAGCAGCTCTCATTTCACATGTATGGAAGCTAATGATAAAATAAAATAATTTGGGGGGAAATTAGGAATTAGACACCCAAAAGCCAAAGCTTTAGAACACATAGAAAGTTTATATTATTTCTTATTCTCAATATAAGATCTACTTAACTAATTTGAGTAGATTAAAAAAATAGATAAATTAGTTATTTATAAAAAAATTGTGTTGATTTTTCTAAAATATCTTATTAAATTATTTAAATTAAAACTATCCTTAATACAAACTCTCTTGACATGTATAATTAATAGGTTAGTTTAGAAAAATTCAGCTAAAAAAAAAGGTTAGTTTGGAAAAATAAGATAAATAAAATAGATTTAAATTTTATATTTACAACCAAATTTAATATTTTTACCTACTGTTATGTCAGTAGCTGAGGAAATATATGTGTGGAGCCAAAAGAAGGAGGGGAAAGTTAAGGAAGAACCTGGCGGATCAATTTGGCGGTGGAAGGGCGATCGGGCGAGGACAGATCAACGATAGGAAGACTCAACGTTGCCGACGGCATCTCCTCCTCCACTCTTTTGCTTCTGCTTATTCCTTTCATGCTCACCCATTTCTAATCCTTTATATATATACACGCTAATTGGAGCAAAACAGAATATATTATCTTCAATTCCTCACCCCAAAAAAATTCAATTAAATTAATAATTGGACAACAATCATTATCTTCATCATTAATACTACCTCCAATCCTAATTATAAGAGTTCGTTGACTAATTTGAGAAAATTAATGAAAGAAGTTAAGTTAGTTATTTGTAACAAATATGTGTTGTCTTTCCTAAAACATCCTTGCTAATCAAATGTATTGGTTATAACTACCATTATTAGAAGGATTATATTGAAAAAAGATACATAAATAGCAGAGACAAAATGAATTGAGTTTTATATTTAGGACCAAAAATAAAAATCAAATAAGGTTTTATATTAAGGACCGGAGATAATATAAAAATAGGGGAAATCAGATTCAGATTTTATTTGTCTATTGATCTACCACATTTTAGTTTTAAATAATAGCAATAATATAAAGGCAACAAATAAATGATTGAGTGTGTGATGGGGTTACCCATTTAAATGACGTGTGGTGATGAACATATCTGCGTTTTTAAAACAACAAAAGTAGATCTTCATAATCTTCGCTTGTTTGCTTGTAGGGTTGGAATTAGAAAATGCTAGAATGTTAAAAACATGCATCCATGCAGTGTTTGCAAAATAGACTGAACTGACCGATTTAAACCGGAGATTCGGAAACTGATGAACTTGCCACTAGTTTAGTCTGGTTATTTTTTGAACCGGTCTAAATTGGTAACAACCACTTTTTAAAAACAGAAATCATATGCCCAGACGACACGAATTGTGAGGGGAAAAAATATTAGAAAAAAGAGGAAGAAGAGAAGATTCTAAAAACAAACTTGCTGTGAAAGGTCTTCACCCAAAAAAAAAAAAAAACTTGCTGTGAAAGGTCAACCTGAGAGAGGCTGGAGGAAGAGACCAAGAATATTAGAGATGTGTTGAGAATGAACTGATAAAGAAGCGATTCAATTTAAAAAAAGAAAACCACTGGATATTTGCCTAACTTTCCGTTTGCTTTTAAAAAAAAAAAACCCACTGGACATTTTTTTAATTAAAATTTTATAATTTGTTTTTTTTATTTTTTAAATCCATCTTTTGAAAGAAAAAAAAATCTTCCTTACCTTCCAATTCCCTCCACCCTCGTACCAAATGTACAATTTTTGTTGCCGGTTTGAAAGCAACGTTACCCCGAGCCTGAGATAATAAGCAATAAATTCCAGTGCCTCGGCACGTACTAAAGGACCATAGAAGCAAGAGGAGAAGAGGGACTGGACGTGCGCAAGTTATTTACTTCTGGGTTAACTTACATCCCGCGTTAATATTCTTCCAATTCTAAATATAATATCTTTAAAACCGAATGAGTATATTTTTTCAAGTATTTTGTGTCCAACTATAAAATATTTTTTGGTGTGTGTCTAATATCCTAAATTTTTAAGCATAGAATTATATTAAAAAATATTTTACGGTATTAAATGCACTTAAAAAAAATACTTTAAAATGTTGGATACACCACAAACTATTTTAGAATAGTAGTTTAGTACTAAATGTGAACACTTCTCTTAATAGAGATTTAAATATTAGTTTATCATGTTGCGAGGGATTAATTTTTTTTTTTTGGCTAAATCTTCTTTTCATGCACACGACTTCAACTCGAAACTTTACGAGCCCAAATGTCGAAAACCGATCCATTTGCCGAGCACGGTGCAAACTGTGGAGCTGACAGATTTGGGCTTAAGGGTTTAGTGGGCTGAGCTCTACATTTGGGCTTATAAAACAAGCCCAACCACAAAGTGGAGACCAACTATAGATGAGAAGCCTAAGGGTATGTTTAGATTGACGTTGGACAAAACTGATTTTTATAACTGAAGTTAGAATAAAAGTCAGTTAATGTAATGCGATTTATGTTTAGATAAGTGCTTTTAAAAAGTCAGTTGAAAAAGTTAAAAGTTGTTTGGATGATTAATAGAAAAGTTAGTTTAGTTGTAAAATGATTGAAAAGGACATGGAGTAGTGTTTAAAATTTTATGTTTTTAATGTGATAATAGTTTTAAAAAACACGTAAAATTATTGTGATAAAATATAAATAGTTTATTTGTAAAATTATAAAATAAAAATATTTGTTACGGAGAAAAATTTGAAAACGCTTTATAGATAATTAATTAAATATACATAATGGACAAACATGAATTTAAATTAAAATTCATTTGGTCTCTAATAATGGAATCACATAACTAATTAGATTGTAAGTTTTGAACAATTTTCTCATAAGTCAGTTAGAAAAGTTGATCCAGATTGTGTTAGATAAGTCAGTTAAAAAAGTTGATCTAGATTGCGTTGGATAAGTCAGTTAGAAAAGTTACCTTTTTTCATAAGTTAGTTAGAAAAGAAGCCCTATCCAAACAATCTTCTGAGCCACAATAAGCCACAAACCTTACTTTTACGCTTCTCCGGATACTTTTACCATCTGTAACGGTAATCAAAACGAGGCCTAGTCTTTGAGAGCATTTCATCATGTGGCTTGTGGATGGATCTTCTTATGAGAGTATAAATTATTATGTTTGCACAGATTTAAATTTAAATAAGCTTCATTTATATATCACCCTTGTAAAATCTTGCTTTTTGAGTGCCACAATTTTCCTACATGACTTAAAACTATTTAAACTTGTTTGCTTGATACAATATTGTCAACACAAATTAGAATTGGTGAATTTTAAATCAAAAGCAACTTAAAGATATTAGTAACAAAGCCAAGTCATATAACACAAAACGCATGAAAATGATCATTTATCCATTGGGATAAACTATCTAAAGTATATAAGCTGAGATATCTAAGGTTTTGTTTCCTTTTTGAAAAAAATATCCATGCACGAATTAGTCAAGGATAAAGATATACAAGTATCACTGAAATAAGAAAATTTCAAAATGATCCCATAAAATGGCTTAATTTCTATGAGGTCTCTAGAGACTATTTTATGATTAATGTGTGTTTTTTTTTTAATTACCTTATCATCCTTATATGAAAAAACTCCCTCCACTACTGACTACTGATCAACAGCTCTGCTGCTCTGGACTATAAATTTATTGAGAAATTAATGAATAATTCACTCTAAGAAATAACCAATTAAATTATTATATGAAATGATAATAAAATTTTGAAAATTTGAGCAGCGGCAGCTACTAATTTGAAATTTGAAGTTTCAATGGTGGCCTGTAGATGCATGACCACTTCAATTTAGAAAATAATAACTCTAATTATATAAAATAATAATATCTTAATCAATGACAACTACTAAATACATGAAAGACTAGATATTTTCAAAATGTATAAAAATCAATCTATTAAGTGATTGGAATTTGAAAGACTGAGTTGAAGAATTTAAATTTAAAGAACTAAATTGAAATCAAGACAAAACTACAATAACTATTTGATTAAGGACTTGTTTGATTTTTTTTTTCTAAAAATAATTTTCAATTAAAAAACATTTGAGTAGATATTTCGAATTTATATGATTTCCAAAACTGCTCTCAACCTTTGGTTTTTGATAAAAAGAAAATGAAAACATTAGACACACCACATTTAGTTATTAGGTATTAGTAAAATTGGAAATTCGACCTACACACTCAATCCATATTACCTGATTCAACTATTAGTTATCACTACTAATCAGTACCATATATTGCCACTTGGTAATTACCATTCACCAATAGTGCTATCATCAACCGCCTTGATCAACAGCCACGGTCATAACTAATCATTATCATCATAAACCACCGCTACCATTAATTGTTGCCGCATTAATATTGGTTTATTTTGTTTTGTAATTTTAAAACAGTTCTCAAATTAATACAATGAAATAGAGTTTCTTTTTCTTTCTTTTTTTTGAGCAAAAACAAGTCCATATTATTAATTTCTCAAAAAAAAAGGTTACACACACTAATAACCAGAAAGAAAGCAAAAATGACAACACGCAGAAAGCAAGAAGGAAAGCAAAAAAAGAAGCCTAGGATACAACCTAAGGAAAGAAAAAAAACATCCTATTAACCTATACCTTTCCTATCAGCTGAAGAAAAGCTAGTACTTTCCAGGTCCTGCAACAGAATTGACCTTAGAGAGGGTGGTGGAGTATCAATCCACCCTTGCGGTACGACACCCCTCATTGCCCAAGCTGCAATTCTATCAATAGCATTATTGCCTTTACGAGAAACCAAAGACAAAACCCAGTTGCAGTCACCTCTTCCTAGCTCCAAGCACTTCATTAATAAATCTCCACACCTCCAGTCGCAGTTCAAAACCTCACCATTATCCAGACATCTGTACAATTCCAAACAATCAGTTTCTAAAATCACCTTGTCCCCGCCAAACAAATCTTTAATGCTGAACGCTTCCAACATGGCCCAACACTCAACCATAAAAGCAGATTGGGCATCCACTTTCAGGCTTACTCCCCCTAAAAATCTCCCTTTACTATCTCTACCAATCACACCTATACCAGCAGAGCCACCCTGTGCATCAAAGGCACCATCTACGTTAATTTTTACAGTACCTTCGTTCGGCCTCTGCCATAAAGACTTTCTATCAAAATTCTGTACATCTGTCAATCTTCCACTCCTTCTGCTTACACAGCCCCAAAATTCATTAGTCAATCTGACTGCTCCTTGAAGGCATTTCACAGCATCCACGTCCTCTTTCTCAAATAGAAAGCTGCACCTCATCTTCCAAATCTGCTAGCAAATAAAGCAGTATTAAATTCATCAATCTCAGTCTTATTAGCAATCCATCCCTCGAACCATCTGTCAAACCTCACAATGACTTTTTCATCAAACATCGGAGCCAGGGGAGAACCAAACCAACACATCCTAGCCCAAGGACATAGGAATAACGCGTGCTCTGTTGTTTCCTGCTATGATTTGCAGATTCCACATACTGGGCTACGAGCACACTTCCTCCTGTATAATGCATTAGCTGTGGCCAAAGCACCATTGAGAGCCCTCCAA